TAAGGGTGGAGATTCAAGGGAGAGCACCACTTAAGGTTGTGTGGACAACAAGACAACAGAGACAAGAGCATGAAGGAAACCGAGTCTGCATTAAGTAGGAAGCCCCGGTCAGTTAGGGAGTTTTGATGGTAAGCAACAGAAACAGACTCTGACAAACTTTATGGGGAGATGGAAGGGATTTGCGGAAGCATTTGGGGTAGCTTACAGAATTTAAAGAAAAAAGCAGCCTGAGAAGAGATAGGATCCCTTCTGAGAGAAGAATGGGTCACCTCTCTACCAGCTCCACAGCTGGGAYGAGAGGGCAGCAGCCATGTCCCATCTCTTCATCTCTCTGCTGAAGATTCGGATTGCTTGGCACATGACAAGAGCATGATACACATGGGATGAGTGAGCGAGCAAATGAATGAAGACAGAATGTCTAACTGGCTGAGCTTGGGAAGATACCTGTTCCATGGGAAGACAGTGAAGGACTGAATTGGCTGAAGGTCCTACCAAAGTGACAATGCAGTGGGGTGTTTCAAACATGGAGGTGGGGCAGGTGGACCCCAAGAGGATGTGCACCTCAGGCAGCAGAGTGATGGCTGGTGGACTACAGAAGGTGGTGGCTCTTGCTATGTGTGGCAGGGCAACTCCTGCTCAGTTAGCTTAGCCCCTGTCCTCTGGTGTCTCGGGRAAAGAAACAACCTGCAGGAAGGCTTTATTGCCAACCCTCAGGGCTGGGGAGAAACCCAGGAAATATACAGCTGGGCTCAGTCAAAAAGGGAAGGATCAGAAAGGTTGAGCAAATCCAGGTGGGTTCTGGGGAGAAGGGAGTGGAACCCAAACCAGGGCAATCCCAGAGTGACTCATTTGGAAATGAACCTGAGTGTACTTCTCCCATAACATCTTTTTTTGTACTTCTTAACAAATTGCATTTTAAAGTTAACATGAAGGAACAACCCACCTGGGTATTGCAAGCCAGGTATGCCCCGTCGTGGGTCACCATGGTCTCGGTTGCTGGACTCCAGCCCTACTGGACTCCTGCTGCCTTTAAACAAGCTAATCTCATTCCTGCTCAGGGACTCTGCTCTCGTTGTCTCACATACTTTCTCAGTTTTCACCTGGCTGCCTCATTATTCCTCACAAGGGTCAACTTCCCTTTGCAAAGATCATCTCCCCAATTTAAAATAGCTGCATCCAGTCACTCTCTGTCACATTGACCTATTTTATTTCCTCCACAGCACTTACAAATCTCCAAAATAATCTTATTTGTGTAAATGCACATGGATGGAATATCTCCCACTTGCGAGTGTAAATTCCGTGAGGATGGGGACCAGGTCTCTCTCTTACACCGATATCCTGCAGAGCTAGACCAGCCCCTGGCACTGGGTAGGTGCTTAGTAAGTACTAATTATCACCCTTTTGTTCCTGGGACAAACTCAAATTGGTGGTAGTGTATTGTCTCTCACCCTAACCCCATCCATACTTGATTAGATCTATTTTTCTGATATTTTAAGAGTCTTATGTATACATTGATCAGTGAATTGGACTGATTTCCTTCTCTGAAATCCCTCTTCTAGTCAACATCCCCTCAGGAGGAGCTGGAGAAATACTGCCCCCTTTTCTATTCCATGGAAGGGTTTGTCTAAGGAACTATCTAGACCTGGAAGTTGGGTAGAATCCTTCTTTAAATCCTTCTGAGCCTGTTGTTTTTCTTGGGGGAAGATTTAAAATGGCTACTTCAGTTCCTTGGTCATCCCAGGACTATCTGGGCTATTCCTTTTTGAGATTATTAAGGCAAGTATTTGTTAAAATTTCCCTTGCAATTTGACCATTACATCTAAACTAAATTAAGTAGAGTGGTGATCTCTGGAGGTTCCTGGGCTGTGTAATGGGTCCATACATAATTATCACAGTAAACATAGAAAATAAAAAAAGAGAGAGATCCTTGCACTAAAGAGGACAGCACGTATTAAGTCAGGGATTTTAAATCCAATTCCGTATACTCAAATCCCACTGAAAATTCAGATCTGCTGAAAACACAGACTGGTGGATAACTCTGTCTTGGTGCCCAGGGACAAACATTTTCCAGTGACATAGGCAGGCCTGGATATAAATGGTCCAGGTAACCTGGTCTCTCTTAGTTTAGTCAGTCCCCCCCCCCCCATGGTGACCAAAAGGCCCGACAAGAACAATTTTAAAGGAGGAAAAGTTAATTTGGGGCTCACAGTTTCAGAGGTCTCAGTCCTAGAAGGCCAACTCCATTCCTCGGAGCCTGAGGTGAGGCAGAACATCATGGCAGAAGAGTGTGGAGGACTTCAGCTCAGGACATCACCACAAGGAAGCTGAGAGAAACTAAGCTGGGCTCATCAGGGACAAAATATATACCCCAGAGGCACACCATATGCTGCCTGCCCATAGCTATCATCCAGCTAACCCATTCAAGTGGAATAATGCAGTGAGTAGGTTTAGGCTCTCAGAACCCAATAATTTCACCTCTGAACTTTCTAGCATTGTCTCTCACATGATCTTGAGGACACCTCACATCTAAACCATAATACTCCCTTCAGACTCTGGAAGAAGGTCCTTGAAAATCTCTCTGCCATTTTTCCCCAGGCTGGGTACCTGGCCTAAGGCACCCCAGAACATTAGAGTGCCCAAGATAAGATAGCAGCCATAGCAAGTTTCCAACAGATGTCTCCTTCCCATGCCACAGGCAGCAGAGACTGAAGGTGCATCCTGGAAAAGATAGAATCAAACACTAAGCTGAAATTGAGGACAGCCCTGTGGCATGACTGGATCTTCTGTGAATGACATTGTTATGAAACTTATTGTAGGTCTGGGTCATTACTATGCTAAAAGGACAAGTAGATTAAAATAAAAGAAATTTCAGAACAAATACAGGAAGGTGTCATCAAGTTTTTGTATGCCATTAGCTGTCAGAAAGTTCACAATTAATCATGATATCGTGCAAAATGTTAAAGTACTTGCTGGAGAGGGCGGAGATGCTAGAACCTGTAAATTTATGCCAGCTGAGCACTGGCTGTGGGGGCGTCTGACAAATGCATTTACTATTTTGCTAACTCCAGTAAAGTGTTACAAAATTGCAACAAAATTGTTTTCTATGCAAACAGTTGTTTTTAAAAGGGTCCTTATAATGGCAATTCAATGCTTTCAGGGTATGCACATACCTAGATATTTAAACAAAAAATATTAGAAATTATTTTTCTTAATGTCAGACTTTTCATGCGGGGAGTGGGGGAGAGGAGAGAAGAAGGGACAGGAACATTTGAACAGAAGGGAGGTAGCACTGGAAGGGAGGTAGGGTGGCCCTGTAAAAGAAAGATGGGAAGCCATTAATTAAAGTTTACCAGTCTCTGAATAGGGACAAAAACTTCAGGTGTCCTCACCAATTCCCAAAAGTAATGCTATGCTACTTGAGAAAGCTATATATAAAATTTGAATTCTATCTCCTCCCAGCCCCTTTTGGCAAATTCTGTCCTAGAAACACCTCATCTGTGACCCTTGTCAGAACCCAGGGGGGGAAACTAGCTTAACTCTATCATGACATTATGGATGTTTCCTGGAAAATGATACTAAATCAAATTTTTTGAACATATATTTTTCAACCGTGAAACTAAACCCCTAAAAAGCGAGTTACAAACCCACGGAAAGCGAGTTAAGCAGCTTTCCAAGAGTTCTTGTACCAGAAAATTCTGCAAGACACTGAAGAACAATGGCGCACTTTAAATTTATAAGGTCCTCCCCTGAAAGAGGCAGCTACGAATCCTTTAAAGCGTTTATAGCAACTTTGTCCAAAGAATCCCATCCGGACAAGAGACTACAACGCYGGTTTACCCGAGGTCGCTGACCTGCAGGACCCAGAGTCTTTTGGGCCTGAACTGGGGTCTTATTGTCCACGTGCCCAACCTTAAGTCCAATCACCGCTCAATCGCCTGAGGCTAGTAGATTTGTCCCCATTTAACAGAAGAAGTTGAAGCTTCGAGAGGAGGGCGGGGCGGGGGGAGGGGAGAGACAGACAGACTAGACACTAGAGGGGCGAGGAAGAGGAGCTTTTCCTCATGACCTTAAAAACTACTTAAACCAATCTAAACTAACTAAACAACGACTTTCAAGTTCCAACATCTGTGTTTCTTTGGAGTAAAGTTCTTTGATCTCATTTCTAAAGCCAAGAATCGGGACAAGCTTTTTTTTTTTTTTTCCCCTGTAAATCAGAACAAAGAATCGCCCCTTCCCCCATCACCCCAATTCAGGAGGACGTCAATCACAGTGGACACAGCAGAAAGAGCCAGAGCATCTGTTGGGGGCGTAATAAAAACGAAACCGCTCCCTGTCTATACTGTCCAGAGCGAGGACCCAGCACCCAAAACTGAAATCTTCTTTGACCCTGGGGTCAAAAAGATTTATTACTTCCTCCTTATGGGAGAAACCACAGAACAGCTGGAAAGGACCAGCAGGGTGTCAGAAGCCTGAGAGTGCCGCTCCAGGCTCTCTAAGCGCTCCCGGGAGCGGTGTGTTTTGGGCTACGCGAGAAGCCGCCGCCGGTGTCTACCCAGAGGGAAGGCGGAGACCGCGAACCGCCGCCGGGGGATTTCTGCCCAAACTTTATCACCAACTCTCTTCGAGAGTAGCACAGGGCCGAGTCCTGCAGCCACGCAGAATCTAAGTCTCCGGTAGCTCCCAGCCCCAGAGGCTGCGAATTACGCGCCCGCGCCCCGGCGCTTTGCGCACAGAGAACTACGTCTTTCCAACCGCGGATGGCGGCCCAAGCAGCGCGGATGTAAACCGGGTCGCATCTCCAGCCCCCAAGGAGGCGGCGGCGGGAGTCAGGCGCTGCGAGGAGGGCGGGCGTGGGACAGGCGGAGGAGGAGGGCAGCTCGGCGAAGGGGAGGAGCCCCGGCGACAGACGGCGGCGCGCGCCAACCCGCGCCGGCTGGCAGAAGCCGCACAGAGGCTGGCCCKAGCGCGTTGCAGGCGCTCGGCGTAGGGGGAGTCGGGTAGCAGCATCCTCCCAGGCGCCGCTTTCGCGCGGCGGCGGCGGCGGGGGCTTTCTCTGCCTGGATACCTCGTTGGCCAGAAGCGGCTCGTGCCGGGGGCGGGGCAGGCAAGAGAGCACTGCGGACCGGGGCTCCTTTGCTTAGAGCTGTGTATGCAGGGTCCTTCCGGGCCAATCTGAAGCTGCGGAGCGGCGGGGCTTGCTTGCGCTGCCCGCCCGGGCATCCTCCCGGTGATGGAAGAAGCAGCCGCCGCCGCTGCGGGGTCGCGCTGCACCCCATCCGCCGCAGCCAGAGAGATGGGAAGATTGGCTGTGCAGAGGCCGAGAGCGAGACAGCGACAGCCCCTTTGCCCTGAGCTGGGTCGCGTATAAGCCACCCTTACCGTCGCCTCTAGCCCGCTTCGCCCCCTAGAGCGAGGAAGGAAGCTGCGGTCCCGAGAGAGAGGAGAAGACGTCGCTGGAGCCGGGACGCGCCGGGTTCAACGGAGCGCGCAGCAGGGCTCCGGGCCCTGTGAAAGTTTCCCTTTCCGAGCTGCAGGGCGCCCGCTGCCAGGAAACTCTGTCCAGGGCTAGGGCTGCAGAGTCCCGCGGCTCCCTCGAAGGCGCAGGGACCCCCAGCAGAAAAGAGCAGAAGAGAATTCGAGGAAGGAGTGACAGTTGGACAGTCCTCCCGTGTGATCCGGGGCCGCTCTGGGGCGCGCCCGCGGCTCCAGGTGAGTGGGGGAGCCGGCAGACTTGTGGGTGGGCGTTACTTAGGCGGAGGAGGTAGCTGGGAGGGAGATTGGGGCGCACCCACTCACTCCGCTTCCCCTGACAGGTCGTCTCCGAGCCGCTGCCATGGGAGAGCCAGCCTTGGGCGCCAGGGACCAGCCGCCACTGCCGCCGCGCCCGCCTCGGAGCCGCGGCCCCAGTCCCGGCGCCCGCAGCTGGCCCGCTGCGTCCCCTTCTCGGGCTGCAGGGCCGCCTCCGCCGCTTTGCCGGCCGGAGCTGTGCCTGTGATGAGCCGCAGCTCTTCGCGAGCTCTGCCCCCGGGCGCGCTGCCCCGGCTGCTCCCGGCTGTGCCTGCCGCCGCGCCACGCGCCCTGCTCCCGCCGTGGCCCCGGCGCCCAGGACGCCGCTGGCCCGCGTCCCCGCTCGGAATGAAGGTGTTCCGCAGGAAGGCGCTGGTGCTGTGTGCGGGCTATGCACTGCTGCTGGTGCTTACCATGCTCAACCTCCTGGACTACAAATGGCACAAGGAGCCGCTGCAGCAGTGCAACCCCGACGGGCCGCTGGGTGCCGCGGCAGGGGCAGCTGGGGGCAGCTGGGGGCGCCCGGGGCCGCCTCCAGCGGCTCCACCCCGCTCTCACACCCGTTTGGACCCCCGCACTCCGTACCGCCCTCCCGCTGCCGCCGTCGGGGCAGCTCCTGCGGCAGCCTTGGGAGTGGTGGGGGCCGCGGCCCCTCCAGGCAATGGCACTCGGGGCACCAGGGACGGCGGGGACAAGCGGCAGCTGGTATATGTGTTTACCACGTGGCGCTCGGGCTCGTCCTTCTTCGGCGAGCTTTTCAACCAGAACCCCGAGGTGTTCTTCCTCTACGAGCCAGTGTGGCACGTGTGGCAAAAACTGTACCCCGGGGACGCCGTTTCCCTGCAGGGGGCAGCGCGGGACATGCTGAGCGCTCTCTATCGCTGCGATCTCTCCGTTTTCCAGTTGTATAGTCCGGCGGGCAGTGGGGGGCGCAACCTTACTACTCTGGGCATCTTTGGGGCAGCCACCAACAAAGTGGTGTGCTCCTCGCCACTGTGCCCCGCCTACCGTAAGGAGGTCGTGGGACTGGTGGACGACCGGGTGTGCAAGAAGTGCCCTCCTCAGCGCCTGGCACGCTTTGAGGAGGAGTGCCGCAAGTACCGCACGCTGGTCATCAAGGGCGTGCGCGTCTTCGACGTGGCAGTATTGGCGCCACTGCTTCGAGACCCGGCCCTGGACCTCAAGGTCATCCACCTGGTGCGTGATCCCCGTGCGGTTGCCAGCTCACGCATCCGCTCGCGCCACGGCCTCATCCGTGAGAGCCTACAAGTGGTGCGCAGCCGGGATCCGCGAGCCCATCGAATGCCCTTCCTGGAGGCCGCCGGTCACAAGCTGGGTGCCAAGAAGGAGGGTATGGGCGGCCCCGCAGACTACCATGCGCTGGGCGCTATGGAGGTCATCTGCAACAGTATGGCCAAGACGCTGCAGACAGCCCTGCAGCCCCCCGACTGGCTGCAGGGTCACTACCTGGTGGTGCGGTACGAGGACCTGGTGGGAGACCCCATTAAGACGCTACGGAGGGTGTACGACTTTGTGGGGCTGCTGGTGAGTCCAGAAATGGAGCAGTTTGCCCTGAACATGACCAGTGGCTCAGGATCCTCCTCCAAGCCATTCGTGGTATCAGCTCGCAATGCCACGCAGGCCGCCAATGCCTGGCGGACGGCACTCACCTTCCAGCAGATCAAGCAGGTGGAGGAGTTTTGCTACCAGCCCATGGCTGTGTTGGGTTATGAGCGGGTCAACAGCCCCGAGGAGGTCAAAGACCTCAGCAAGACCCTACTTCGGAAGCCCCGGCTCTGAGGGCTCTGAGAGAGTTTCCCAGGAGATCCGACACTCTGTGGAGACGCCCACAAAGATAACTGTGATGTGTTTAAACAAACAGCCCAGACCCAAACTGAGGTAGCCCACATATTCTATTATAGATATATAATATAAATAACCACACAGGCACTAGCTRTCGATGTTTTGAGTCAGTGAATTTCAAGGAACAGAACACACACACACATGCACACACAAACACACACACATACACACACACCTCAGAAAAGGTAAGACTTGAAAGTTCTGAACAGTGGTCCCTCCTCTCTTGTCCCCTGTCTCTTTCCCCTTCCCCTTTCTCCTATTTCTCACCCTCTCTCCCACCTGCCTTCCATTTTGAAGTGGAATGTTGATGAAATCTAGTTCCAGTAACCCAAATCTTGTTTACAAAGTTTTCGTGGTATCTGTGAACATGTAAGAGTAATCTGGATGTGGGTGGGGGGTGGGGCGGACAAAGGGGAAGTGGTCCAGGAAAAAAAAGCCCCACTGGGCCTGATAATAAACTAAGGAGGCATTCCTCTAAAGTAGACTTTTGTGTAAAAAAGCAAAGGTTACATGTGAGTATTAATAAAGAAGATAATAAATAATATTCTTTTTTTTTAAATATATTTGCCTCCCTTGCTTTGGATTTACCTGTGTTACTTGTCCTACAGAGCTTCAGATAGAATCTGCTTCCCTTCCGCCTTCCCTTGTTTCTAGCCCTCTCCTGAAGGACAGCTAACCAGGGAGAAGCTTCTGGCTCCTTGATAATAACCCCAGAATTGTTTTCTCACATGTAAATCACAGCCTGCCAGGTGTTCAGGAATGGAACAAATCTTCAAATTCTACAGGCACAACCAAGACGGGCAGTGGAAGAAAATGCACAAACTACTCTCCTGTTGAACTCCAAGTACAGAAAGGAAGAAGTGAGCCCTTGAGGATTTGAATGCATTTGCTTTTGATTTYTACTGTATTGAGTTAAGACAGGGAACCTTGAAGCTGAGACTAATGTTTTTGTCATGAGTTTGGCTCTGGGAAAAGTCTTTTAAAAAAAGTATGTAATTTTAGAAAATTCTGATGATTAGAACACAAGCCTCAAAAATGAATGTGAACATATTGTTGGCGATGGCAGCAACTTCTTCAGTTAGCAAAGTGACACAAGTATCTGTCTGGGGTGTTTTTCTGCCTCTGACACAGTACCCCCAGGCTTAGAAAAGCAGAGAAGTTTTATCTTCCCTTTTTGGAGTAAGGGCACTTATGGGCTCTTCCTCTTCTTCCTCGCTTACCATCCAAATTAGTGAGAAAGAGAATATGAATTTATAATGGTTTACTTGGGATGCCTAGGGGATATGTTGCTTTCTTTATCATGTTTCCTAAAAGGAAATTTGCAAAGAAAACACATGCTGCAGACAGTGTAAGGCTTCAGCCAAGAGCTTCTTTTAGATTTGAAAATGAATTATGGGGAAGAGAAAATAAAAATGGATTAGTGTGTAGGATTTTGAGATTTGGTACTTTCCCAGGGAGAAAACCATTGAATTTTCCTGCAATGGATATGATATTGCTGTGTCCTGAACCCATATTGTACTGAAGTGTTCTGCAGAATGTTGTATTAGGATAAGAAATTCTGAAGCCCAAATGGGAACAAGAGACAGTGTGGTTGTATATTGCATTAAATACGGTACAAGTTCAATATCATCATGGCTTTATTTTACTATAATTTGTAATGAGGTTTCTGAAAGTTGTTATGTATAAATTCTGAAGATTTTATTTTAGGGAAAAGACAATGAAAAATAATACATACATGGAAAATATTTGAACACAAAGTGATTCTTAAGTATGACTATCATTGGGTTGGGGCTTAGCTCAGTTGGTATGTGCTTGCCTTGCATGTACAAGGCCCTGAGTTCAATCCCCAACACTACACCAAAAAAAAAAAAAAAAGTATGATTGTCATTATAGTGTGAGATCTAACTACATTGGTAAAAATTCCGAGATGAAGAAATGTATAGGTTTTTTTTTTAAAGGTATATATGGCAGTGGATTTTATAACATGTTCTAGAATGGTTGTTTCTTAATATACTAAAATAGTTTCTAATATTGTGTTTATTAAGTTATATTACAGTTATGACACAGTGATCATATTGTTCATGATTTTTTTTGTGGTAGTGCCTATGCTGAATTATCTTCAGCAACATTTGTAAGAGCTTTAATTTAAGAATACTTTAAAACTAAATGAACAAAATAAATATTAATGTTGGATGACTATAGATGAAAAAGGGTTTAGTGGGAAATTAAGATAGCATCATTAAAAAGCAACCACTCTGAATAAAATAACCATTTAAAAACAAATTTCATGTGGCATTAGAATCAGCTCTTAATCACCACAGTGAAATTTATGCCTGGTTCTTGAGCGAAGGATTTTTAAGCAGTCGAATTCATTCTTCTCCCAGTATATCCAGTGACTTGGATTGTGCTCAAGTAGGATGATGATGTTTTTGGATCTTGTATTAAAAAAAAAATTAGATGCGATGCAGAGCCTTAACAGTCTCCAGAACATTCCTGGCCTCTGCTCAGATGAAATATTAAGCTCACACCAACCGTTCCCCCTCACTCTGTTTGCACAAGTTTTTTTGCCTGTAATTTCCTTGTTTTGTGGCAGCTTTATCCTCTCCACTCTGCCACTCTTGGACTCTGTAATTTGAAAGGTGAATTGTTCCTGGAGATTTGCACCTAGCTGCCTTCCAGGAAAGTGAGAAGAAGGTTGTTCCTCCTAACAGCTGAGATAGTCATATCAGTGACATTCAGCTTCTGCAGGTTTGAGGAGAGGAGCCTTTTTGGCGTTAACAAGCTCCTGTCAGCCCCTGGTGCAAACAGGCCTGGGCCACAACAAATTGTAACAGAGCCTATGACAGTTTTGGAGGCAGCACACATGAAAGAGATCCTTTCACATTTCCCAGCCTGGCAAGATGTCCATCAGCAGGAGGAAACATTCTCCCGAGCACGTTATTAGAGTTGATTTGTATTTTAAGCCCTGCTCAACTAATAGCACTCCTGACTTATACTTTTGACTTTGGAATGTCTGTGTTAATTGGAAAGTTCTATGTAGAAAATAAATCCTATGCCATGCCTTTAGTCAACAAATATGGTTTTAGAACAAGGCAGAGGCACAGGGTGGGTGCTTGAGTTTCAGGAAGCTCAGAGCCACTGAAAGGCTTCATTCAGACTGACCCATGGGGACCTTGTGGGCTGGGGCTGGAGCAAACCTCTACCCTTCGGTGTTTGCCACACAGTGTGTACTGGATATATATTTGTCAAAGAAGTGAAGGAACTATGTAGCTATCTAATTTTGAAAATGCTCAGAGGGCAAGAGTTGAAGAATGTGTTATCTCTCTGGGGACAGATCCAGGCTATTCACTGTGGTTTGCTGAAGGAAGTGGGCCCTATTTAGATGCAGGCAGTAAGCAATATCTTTAAGATGTTCAGGGAAACTTGTATATAGACCAGTATTTCCCACTGATGAGTTAGAAACAGAAAGGCAGAATTTATGAATGTGAAGGAGTGAAAGTTTCCAAATAAGGAACTAACTTTTTAATATTTATTTTCCCAACTCTATGAACAATGTGCAGGCAGGGATCGGAACATACCTGCAGAACAAATGTGCCCAGGTGCCTAGAAGAGGCTGTAACATGATTCATTTTTGTAGAAGCCATGTGAGAACTTATTGTTTCTGTGCTGTGAATGTGCAGACAAGTGCTCTGGTGTAAATTTAACCCAAGAATGGTTACTTCTGGGAGTTTGTTCTATTATGGATGCTGAATGAGACAACGGCTGTCTATCCCATGCATCCCTGCCTGGCTGCAGCCAGTCCTGGGCAGGGTTTCTATTACACACAGTAGAGTTGTGGCTGGATGATGGCGATGGTTTTGAAATTAATGTGAATTCGGTTGAGGCTATTACATTAATATTCCCTAGCCACTGAGCAATGAAATAAAGATCATGTTTGAATCCCAGTCTCTAGACATGACTTCAGGAAGAGCAAGAGGGAAATTAAACAGGCGTGTCTCTTCTGTAGACATGGTAAATAAGGGTGAGATGTCACTTTCCCACCCTTCTTCAACTTTCTTCCTTCCGTACACAACACATACCCACACCCACACACACCATATTGAGTTCCTGCATTGTCTTGAAGGAGTCTGGACAAGAATATTTAATTCTTTTCTGTTTTTGGGCTGGGTATGGAACCCATGTTCTCATGTATACCAGGTGAGTTCTGTACTCCAGAGCTATATTCCCAGCCTCAGAGAATGTCTCAATACCAGCTAATGGGTAGGTGGTGAGCTCACTTTTGATCTCAGGCTTCTGGAGAGTGAATGGCCAATTATTGTATCAGAACCTGTGACAGTTCTGTGTCAGGATCCAATGTGGACAGGTACAAAATGACAATTGCAGTTTGAGGGATGGCTAAAGGTATGTGATGGGATATCCCCAGGTAAGTGCATAGTTTATATACCTCTTTTGTCACTCACCTTGAGAAGAGCCCTTTCAATCCTGTCACAGCTAAGAAAATAATTTGTTGAAATACTTTTCTTTCTTTCTGGACCTCCAGCTGCTACTTTTGCAGTTCAAAAATACAAGCCAATGAACTACTCGGGTACAGGCCTTGGTACAAGTGTTTAATAATTGCAATCACAAGGCTTGACTTTTATTATATCTGAGGCAATTCTTCACACCCTTAATCAAATTATTTTAAAGGAAATGTTAGATTCTGCATAACACATCAAGTTTGTAGAATGGGAAACTTTCTGAACCAGTGTTTGAGGGGTGTTGTTGTTTATAAAATTAAAGGAGTTTTGAAGGAGCAGGAGCCTGTCTGTACGCTTGGTAACAGGATGATAAAGGGTGGTCAAGGCCAGAGCTTAACTTTTGGTTGAATTAGTTATCTGTAAGGAAATGTCAAAAGTATTTTGGGGTTGATTGACCTTTGAGGTTTGTGATGGTCACCCTACCAAGTGAGTGATGGTAAAAATAACCCCTGTAACCCAAAGCTATACTCAGAAACGTTTTGCAGTGGTTTCCATACCAGGTATATAGACGGGGCTAGAAATTCACCTTGAAGTGCTTAGTTTTCTGGACAGGACCAGCTACATAATTTGCAGAGCTCAGAGCAAAACAAAAGTGCAAGCCCCTTGTTTTAAAAAAATCAGGCTTTCGAGATGACAGTTACACCAAGCACRGGGGGCCCCCTTTAAGCAGGGGGGCAAGAGTGCAGGTTGTATGTCCCTGAAGCTGATACTGTCTCCAGATGCAAGGAATTAAATGTCTAGCTACAGGAGAGAATGAATAATGGTGCAAATGAAAAATGGGTGCAAAAACCTGTGTGATTGTGTATAACTACAATGAGGCTTGTTGAGCACACTGCGATGACGGCATTTTAAAGTGGAGTATGCACACCCAACAATGTACTTCCTGGTGTTTGCAGCCAGTGATTGACAACGCTCTCTTAACCATTGGTTGAGTACAATAACATTTGGGATGGTCCTATTGAAGATGGAGGGAGCCTGTGCTGCTCCTGGGATCCTTATAAGAACAGGTCAGGACAGACATCTTG